CTTCGTCTAGAAGCTACGTCCCGGTTTGTACCCGTGCAGACGGTACGGTGGGTAGGGGTGGTCTGCTGCCCACAAAGCAGTGACCTGTTCTAGTTCGTCCTGCAAGCCAGAAAAACTGCTTAGCTCGTTGCCCAATTAAAAACGAAACAAAAACTAAAAAATCTCCATAGAGATTCCCCAGCTAAGGCCCTTGAGAAGAGAGCTGGGGACGGTACCCTGTTCAGGTAACAGCTCTGGAGGCTGTCGTATTGTGCTTGTCACTTGGGAAAAGAGCCAGCAGCGGTAGGAGCAGGCTTACAAACGCTTTCTCGGGGATGTATCAAACACTTCAGTTCAAGAGCTAACCTAGAGCCTTTCAGGATCCTGCTGCCCAGGCCTGGCTGACAGCATGAAACCGGGGCTGGACCTGACAAAAACCTGCCCCGAACCATGCAAAATGCTCATAAAGAGCGTTTCGGAGGAGCCTGAGCTTCTGGTAGCTTTGGGCACAGAAATAAGAGTGAAGTTGCCCCGTTGTCCTGCTCCCCAGCTATCCCCTCCTGCAGGCCACGAGCCCCGGAGATGAGCGTGGCCGGGAGCTCTGCCGGGCAGGCAGCAGCACGGGGAGATGCCCTCCGGCAGCTTCCGACCAGACGGGTGTCATTCCAAACCCACCACTTTAAAGGATACCTTTGAAACCCAGTAAATTGCTCAGTTTTTGCACAAACTATAGAAAACAGAGAGGTGAAGGTGATATATACGAGGGTATGAAGAAAACAGCAGGCAACATGCAAAACATTTCTGGGCACTATTTTAGTTTGAAAGATTAAAACAAAAACATCACATTTTGCTGAGGAGATTGTAGGTACAAAAAAAAAACAAACCCAAAAACCCAACAACCAAGCATGCTGGGGCTTAACGAAATACAACATTAACTTTGATCAAATTTTCACTGCAGATTGAATCACACGGAGAAGCAGGGAAAAGAATAAAAATAAAAATTAAAAAAAAAAAAAATCAGTAAATGCCAGGGCAAAAATGTAGCTACAATCAGAAGGAAATGTAGTTCAAGTGTTTTCCGCTGATGCCACTCAAGTCACAAGTTTGAACTCATAAAAACACATGCTGTCTCCTCAAGCACAGAAACCAGATCAGCAAAATGTGACTAGGAAGTCTCCTGCAAGATTGAGTCACACCATATAATTGCCTTTTTCTTTGAAACTGTGTTTTTAAAACTAAGCACACGGAAAAAAAATAAGCCTAGAAAGTGATTGGCTGTATGTTCACAGAAATACAAATACTCCACAAGGTATGCTAGCAAGGCTGCTCTGAAGACAATTACAAAGAATCGGATTCACAAAATCAAGTGGTTATCTTAGGAAGGTTCTAGAAAAATAGAAATTCTTTTATATTCAAATGCAAGTTTAAATATTCCCCTTCAGCAGTCTTTCTAGCAAAACCAATTTGGCAGCACAAAAAAAAAAAAAAAAAAAGAAACAAACGTAATAAAAATACACATCAGCATCAAAGGTCAACACAAGGTCAAAGGTGAGAGTTCAAGCATCAGAGAAGCTGAAGAGACAAGGATTTGGACGATGTACTTGAACGCCACATCGACATGCTTTAGGCACAACGATGAACAAACGGCAGGAATCTAGAAAAAAAACAAACCAGAAAGAGGGAGACCCACTGAGTTACACAGAGCAGTACATCCAAACACAGAGAGAGAGAACACGAATGGGCACTGCACGACCACATCTCCTGGGGAAGGGGGGCGACAGGGAAGGGCAGCACATGCCGACGATGCACGAGTGAAAGGCGAAGGACGGGAAGGACACCGAGCAAACACCAAACTGCCAGAAACCGACTGGAAGCAGAGGCCTGGGCTTCCCTCTCCGCACCCAGCCCGCGGCGCAGCGAGCACCTCGCCCCGCGCCCCCAGCAGCTCCGCTCAGGAGGAGAACAGAGCGAGCTCCTTCCCCAGGAGATCGACTCCAGGGCTAACGTGTGCCCACGGAGACCGAGACCATGAGAGACGAGACAGAGGACACAAGGGATTCACAGGTGGTTTGACGGCCGAGAGTTTTCTTGCATCCTAACCGGGCAAGTTGGGAGGCAGCGGCAGCCCAGGAAATCCATGTTCTTTCCTTCCACTACAGTCCCTCCTCATTCCCTAGGAGCCCAGGAAACTGGAGCGGGTGATTCAGAATAGGGGGGAAATAATAAAAATTGTACTAGACGAGCTCCACACATTAGAGAAGAATTCCTTAAGACCCGACTGCAAGGTAAGCCTTGTCCTAGCTGAGCACTTTGCACACCCTTAGACCTGCACAGGGATTTTCTGTTGCCCTCCTTTCATATAATCCAGCCCCCGGCTCCCTGACTCTGTGAGGAGGGGATTCTGGGCTCTGAGAAGCTCTACAGTCACTGTTGCCAGTTTGGTGAGGAGGGAAAGAAAAAAAAAGTGTTTTCTGATGCTTTCTTGAAGAGTTTATAAATAAAATAGTTCATGCATCAAGTGATATAAATACCTGTGTTTCCTCCCCTCAGTTTGTGAACTGCAGGAGACAAGGACCATTTGGGGAAGAACGGGAGGTAAGGGAGAGAGGAAGCAAATTTTCCTTTGTCTTCCTCCTCTCCCTGCCTCAAACTTCCCTTTTTATCTCCTGGTTTGTGGCCTTAATTCTTCAGCACATTTCAAAGCTGCTGGTCTGAGACTTGCAAATTATCTTACAGCAGATACAGCGTGTTTGAGGACAGCAAGCGCCGCATTCTAGTTCCAAAGCAACAAGCAGCACGTTGCCCACTGAACCTGCAACACCCCACTTGCTAGAACTGCTGAGATTAACTTGCTCTTCATACTGTCCAAGTCTGGAAGGGATTTAGTACGGAGTTTAACCCAACTCCAGCAAACAGCGCAGTGCAGCTCCTGTAGTTGCTTCTGTAGTTCTAGAAACACTCTAGGTAGCAGATAACACAGCAGGTGGCTGTAAGGTTTCAGTCCCAAACCAGAAAGGCAAACTCGTCATGAACGGAGGCACAAGAACGAACGAGAGGCATGGAATCAAGTGACATCTACACATGCGCCCTGAACATTCTTAGTGTCACTTGGTTGGTGGTTTTCTGGTAAGAGATTTTTCAAATATTTCACTCCGCAATTTTGAGAGGAAAGATGAAGTTTCACTAAGCCCCGAGGGAGGGCTGGCCTACAAGAGCAGGCCCGTGAGGTGCCCGATAACCCAACGACTTAGGGACAGTTACTCCAGTTTGTCCTCGCTTTGTTCTCACAGCTGTGGTAGTTCCTGCCTTCCGTGCTTTCTGTGTTGTGGTAGATGTGCTCAGAGATGTGTAACACCCCTGTTTGCAACAAGCTCTTAAAGCACTTTGTGTGTTCATCTGCAATTTGCTTTATCCACGTTGCTGGTTTGTGCCACCACCAGGCACAAACACTCCAGTCAACTCTACTGCGCAAGCACAGCCCGTCGTGCTACGTGGGCATCAGGTGAAAAGCTTTTTCCTTAGAGGTGTATCCGCCAGTGAGAAGTCTCCTGAGACAGTGCCCGCAGCTGGTAAACTGCCTCACCGTTAAAACAGAGAGCTATTTACCACGATTGTCGCGGGTACTTTTGAAAAATTCCAATCCTCCTTCCGCTTAGGATTAACATTTAATCACTAGGTATCAAATACTGCGAGCTTTGTATTACTGGAAGAAAAAAACTGAACTACAAAGAGACACCCTATTATTTTGGACTGTTCATTATCTAGGGGACTGAAGAAGCTATGATTTCGTTTAATACAGTACTCGATACTAAGTAGCATCACATTAAGATTTGTTCATAATGCTTTCATTTACTTACAGCATATCTAGTAAAATCAAAGGTCTTAAAAAAAAAAAAATCAGTATGTGAAGTAGACTATTTCTACCTTGTTTCTAAATATATGTAAGTATTCCTGGTGGCACATGTAATATGGAATTCCATCTCATCAGAAGTCCTATTAGCTTCTGCTGTAGAAAATTCAGATTCTTTGGTTTATGACCATGCAGAATAATTTGGTCCACGCACTGACTTAAACCAGTCCTTCTGCAGTTTATTCCCACTCACTCAACTCTTCTCCACTGTCCAGGAAATAAAGCATTTGACACTGGTTTGTTTTGCTCTTGAATGAGAGCATGATGGGAATTAAAAATAAAATAAAATCTAAAGCCCCAAGCCCTCAAAAATCCCAAACTTTCCTGTCAATGCGTGAGGAAGAAAACTGGCTTAAGACCAAAAGGCAAGAAGAGCCTCAACGTGCAGAGCCAGCGGCAGCCCCCAAACAGGCACAGACCTGCTGACTGCATCTGGTCAGTCCTGTCATCAGGAAGAAATCCGCCCAAGTCACAAACTCGATACATTTATTAACTTTGGCAACACACACATGGATACACCAAGAAAGGGAAATCTGAAAAACCAACACACAAAAAGGGCAACGTCTTCAGCTGGTAAAAACTGATGCAGCTCTACCAAAGACAGCAGAGCTGTGCTGATTCAAACCATCTGAGGATCACATCTTTTAAAAGTTAACCTGCATAGATCTTCTCTTCTTTTTGGCAACACTTAGAGTTACGCCAGTAAGGCACAAGAGCTAGCCCAAGTTCGGCGTCTTAAGGTGATTACGTCTGGGAGGAGGCGCTGAGCAACCTAAGCCACAGCGTAAACTGGTGAATCTCCTCGGCCAACAGGAGCTGCACCTGTCTGCAACAAAGCCAAGCTTGAGCCTCAAGTCACAGCGCTGGGGACACGCTGGGGGATGCAGCAGCTAAAACACCTAATTTTGGGTAAGGGAAACGGCTAGTAAAGAGGCCAGAGCATCAGGTTAAAAGAAGAACAGGACAAAGGTCTCAGCACAGCGGGGCAGGGAGTAAGGAAGGTAAGAGTGACTGTAGAGACCCCAGAGCACAGTGCTCTCCTCCACTGGTTCACAGCGTTTCTCTTCCCCGTTTAGCAGTTGTCGGGCTGCAAACAGGCCACTGAAAATCAGTAGTTTCAATCATGCACATCATGATGTGTGTAAAACAATCACATTCAGGATTCTACAAGACCCTGGCCTTTTTTCCAGTGAAATAATTTAGGTAATAAATATTCTCCACCCTGGAGCGGTATAAAACGTCTATAAAAATAGAAACAACATTCTTGGTTACAGCAGGTTGCACTTGGAGCAATTGCTCCCAACTATGTTTTTTTTTTCTTTTTTTTTCTTTTTTTTTTGAAAAGTATATTATTTATAAAAAAAAAAAAATCCCATTATCACCCTGGAGGCCTTCACACTCCAACACTCCTTTCTCAGAAAACCAGGACACATCTTTCCCATCGTGCAGAATTCAAGTGTACGTGGTTCACTTAAGTGTATGTTTACGTTTCTAGAGAAATTCAAATAATTAACATAGAAGGGTACCACATGCCAGCGTAACTTGGAAATTTGGCAGTCTGGCCTTTTAACCTTTGCCACCACAAAGTGATCTGCATAATACTGATAGATTTTCCTGTCTGCCATCAATACAGACAGCTGTTTGGTTTTCAGTTTAAGAATGGAAAGGGCTCTTCTCAGATGTTACAGGTCAGGCCTCGGACTTGTGAGGTTTGAGATCCCAGGGGACCCAGTCCCTGGGAAGGCCTGACATTCCCAGATGGGTTCGGATTCCGAAGGTGCTCTCAGTCTGACGGGATTAGCGCTCCTCCTGCCGGAGCCCAGCAGAGCCCCGAGCCTGCAGGGTCGGACCCGCGCGCTCATTACTCAGCAGAGTTAGCCGGTGCCCTGGGAAACAGCATCACAAACCAGGGACACAAAGAAAACAAGGAAATGGGAGAAAAGATGAGGTAAATGAAACTTCTGCTAAAGACGCACAGAAATTGTAAACTTCCTCTCGCGAGAGAGGCGGATTTTGGTGGTTACAGGATGGGACTCTACTTGGATTTCTTGAAACGACTCAGGCCAGAGTGTCAAAAGTCCTTGGAGCCCCCTAAACCCAGTGTGTAACAAAGGCCCGTAGCAACACACGAGCAAGTTCACAAGTGTGCAGAAAAAGCGTGTGTTCGCTGAAGGGGAGTGTTCAGGCTCCCTCCAAGAAAAAGGGAAATGGCTAAGACCAAAGGGCAGAATAATGCTCTGCTCCGGTTCCTCAGCTACTGCCTCAGCCTGGTTTGCACTTGCATGCACCACCTTAAAGGAAAACTGCAGTACAAAGAAATGCCTAAGTACTAGACCAAATCACTGCACAAACTGGTTTTTGTATTTTTTTAAAAAAACAGAAGAGAACAGGAAGTTATCTTTGCAACAGAGTTAAGACTGGGAAATCAAATCCTCTGAGAACAGGTATGGAACAGGAGCCTCGAGAGCTGTGTTAGGGCAACCCTGGGCTTTGTATCTCAGTTTAACAGTCATTTTAACAGAGACACAAACAGCACTTACATTAGGTTCATCAGAATGAATTCAAAGTAATACTCTGCAAAAAGGATGTTATTCCACAGAAACTGGGAATGTGATGAACTGTTAAGAAGAAAAATTGGCAAAAAAGTTCTGCAAGTCACCAGGGATCCAAAGTTTCTCGTTTCCAGCCCCAGATGTATTCATCCAGACTAAGCTGTCTGTCTCTGTACCTTCCTAGAAAACTTAGACAAAGTACATAGGGCAAGTTTTCTTAAATATGGAGAAATTCACTGCATCTCATTAATATTCAGCTCTAAATGGACAGTGAAATTTTCTGGCCAGGGACATCCTCTAGCAATTTGATGAAGTGCTGCGTACATTCACAGGGCTAGAGGCACTACTTTATGTACAGGAGGGAAAAAAAAGATCACTGCAGTTTTCCTTTGGCTCGTTAACGTGTTCACCCTTCTAGCCTGTCTCCTGCTTTGGAGATGATTTACTAAATTCCCACCATGGCACACAGTTAGGGAAATGCCAAAGAGTGGATGGGGCATGACAAAGGCTACACGGAGTCAGTTCTTTGCCCACCCAAACTCGGATGGACTCAGCTCTCCTTCCCCAACTGTTTCCGTCATCCGTTCTGTGTCATTTCTGCCTTCCCTTCTCTCCCCCATGGCGGTGTGGCGTCCGTTCTGCTTCCCCTTCTCCTCTCTACCCCAAGGCAGTGTGGTGTCAGCTCTGCTGCTCCCTTTAACCTTCCCTCCCCATCCCCGAGGAGCTGGCATTGGTCCTTCTCAACACACACTGGTTACAAACACAGCAAACTTCAAATAAGGGGGGAAAAAAAAGTCAAAAACAAAACAAAAAAAAAACCCCAAACAAACAAACAACCTCAGCGATATGGCACCTAAACTCCAAAGTAAAACACCGGAAACAAAAGCACAAACTTGTCCTCCATCCGAAGCAGGATTCTCAGCAGAGGCTGCGGCCGAGTCTTCAGGGGAAGATGTGCCAGACAGAAGGCATGGATCAGCTTCCAGGACTGTAAAAACACAGCCTTAGGGCTTCGAATCGCTAAGTGCGCTCCTCTCCAACTTACCAGAAGATCCTTCTCACTCCAGTCCCGCAGGGAGGGGCGCTCAGTATGGCTTGCTGTCATTCTTGGAGCGCTTGAGCTGTACTTTGAGACGCTTCATGCCGATCTGAAAGCCGTTCATCGACTGAATGGCAGCCTGCGCAGAGACAGGATTGTCGTAACTTACAAAACCTGGAGAAAGGGAAATACACAATTATGCCATGGCTACTCACAGCTGGAAATGCAGGCACTCACAAGGATAAGAGATGCTTGCGTGAAATGCCTTTTTCAGAAGCTCACAACTATGTCAAGACTCTTCATAAAAACTTCTTACTAAGGGCTCTCAGACAAAACATTGTTTTTGACGTGCGGAACTTAGGCCAAAAGATATACAAAGCTCATGAAATTAAAGTAGCATTTTCTAGTCTCCCAACAAAAATGAGTGCTGCTGTTTGTTTTGTAAGAACTCGTACCTTGGAGAAAACCAAACCTGGAAAGTGTTAATCTACATATGATAGCTCAGTAAAGACGCAAGACTGAGATCACCCTCCCAGCATTACAGGAGTAGATTTACTTGGAGTGAAGCACATGTTACGGCAGCGTGGCACTTGCAGCACTACTGGGTTTAGGTTTCTCTCTCGGATGAAAAGTTCTATGCGATTCCAGAGAAAGAACATCCTCAAACTTCTGCAGGGCTTGAAGGAATCCATTCTAAAGAACTCCAGTCAGTTGCTTCCCACCACTGCCCGGGGAGATCCCTCCACATGCAGGTGTTACAGCCTGATGCTCAGCACACCTCTGGGTATTCACAAAGCACCAGCTTGTCCACGTCTCTTGGCTCAAATACTAGAAAGTACAGGATATTACGCAGGCACAAAGCTATCGAAAGCTTAGAGAAAGGTTCACCCCTCCTATCACAAGAAATCTCCATCTACCAAAACAGTCACAAGAGCTTATAGCACCACAAAAATGCTACGGCTGCTTGCACTGGGGCTTCAAAGTAAGGAAAATAAACCCACGAATCTTTCAGCCCACCTGCACAGCCTACTACTGCACAAGCCAAGGAAGACTGTGCCCTTTGCTCTTTTGGCATAACAGGCTTTAGCAGCTAGCTGAAAATCATCCATTTGAACAGCAACGGCAGCACAACAGGTTGGTTTATACTGTTAGGATGCACTTTCAACCTGATGTGCCTCCCATCTAAATACACAACAAGCAGAGAGAAATTAGGGTAAAAGATGCAACCAAAGTTTGATACCAGAGTAACGCCTGAAGTGGTTTTACTACTATGAAGTTTTCAAGAATTAGGAGGAAGCTTTAAAAATTGCCTTCAGAGCATTTACAGATATTCTGAGTGAAATGCTCTTGTACTATACGGTAGCCAGAATAGTTACCTATAGAAATATTATTATAAATAATTTGTAATGATAATGTAGTAAATAGTATGTACAGCAACGTAAATGATTAGTGAAAAGGCAGAAAGGGGGAAGAGGAGGAACTATATTATAAATCATAGTGGCCTAAACACTAGGGCCTAAATAGTACAATGAGGCATAATAGTAAGAAATCAGGAAAAGCAAGAAGTCACTATGAAGATCAGGAAAATACAGTTCATTGCTGCAAGAGTTTGCACGGCTTGATTTATGTTTTAGGAATGTAGAGCAAGAGTCACTTCCTGACTTAAAAGCTAAACTAGATAACACACTGGAAAAGAAATTACTAGAAAGAAGCCACCTTTCTACAGGTAACGATTAGAGCCAACTTACCAAAACACTTGCTTAGATTGGTCTGCTTGTCAATGAACACCTTGGCAGAGACGACATTTCCAAATGGCATGAACATCTGCAGCAGATCCTGATCCCCAAACTCCTGGGGGAGGTGGTAGATGAACAGATTGGCTCCTTCTGGACCTTCAAACAACAAGCAGAAATAAACATTCAGAAAGAGCACGGGTAACACAGGCCCACTTCACCAAAAAACAACAACAAAAAAAAGGTGAAAGAGCCACTCAACCAAAATTTTCTAGATCAAACAATGAAACTGCTGTTCACCCTTCTGCAGAGCACTTGATGCCAAAATAAATCAGCATGACCCTTTGCTGGGATCAGTCATTCAGATAATTCAAGCTCGCTCTCACCATTTTTGCCTGTGGTTTCCACACTGTGCCAAAACTGGTTCATAGATCTTTGCTGTAACGAACGCTGAACAGTAAGTTTGAGCCCCAAATGTTGAATAAAACAAAAACGGCTGCACAAAGCTTGTGGCCCAAAGAAACTAAGTCAATCTTAATGCAAAACATAAGTAATCGCATTAATGATAGTCTGATGGATTCTTTTCTGAGTATCACCCTACATTCTGCTGAAAACTTACTCCTACGTTCTTCATGCTTTACACTACGTGTTAAAACTGATTCTAAATCTCAAGAGCAAACAAGATTGACATCATGTATCTGTGGGAAGAGCTGAAGGACCAAGAAAACAAAATGAACAAACCCACGACCGATTCCCTGACGGCGGGATGTATTAGGCTGCAGACTTATACTCTCCTGTCCTCTGAGAAAAACAGAGGAGCACGATTACTAAGTATGTAAGACTAGAAAATCCTGGGAGAAGCCTTTGGTGTAAAAAACTACTTTGGAGAGCCCATAGGAGAGACTCCTCGCAGGTTTTCCTTCTTTACCTTCAGCAACTCTAGAGATTCTAAAAAACACCACCAAACCAGAGCTCTGCAGATAAGGCAGCTGTGAGGGCTGCGCTTGCCCTTTCAACACCCCCCCCAAGTTGTTCCTGCAGCTTCCCACCTACCTTCTTTTTGACTTCCTGCTGCACCAATACTCTGCTGCGTTAAAAGACTCTGGTTATAGAGCGTGGGCAATGCAGCAGCTGCGTATTGCTGGATTCCAGAATAAGCCTGTGTGAGGGCTTCCATTGTGCTACCCGTGCCATTTGAGAGACCGCCACTGCCAAGCCCTCCGTTTAAGGCTGCCATTCCTGTGTAAGGAAGAGGAAGGAGAGACGACTGAGCGCTGCCATTGAGCCAGACCAACTGCCTTTCGAACACTCCGCACCCTTACAAAACGCATGGAGCAGAAAAAAAACCCCAGAGAACCAGCACAGCCTGAGGAATGATCATCAGCTGTTCCCCCGAGGCAGCGCAGCGCAGAGCTTACCTGCTAAAGAGCTGACGTTCAGGCCTGCTGTAGCCCCTGCCAGTGTCTGCAGCGCTCCAAGAGAAGCCATTGGATTAACAGAGGAGCTGCTACTGGAGCTAGGTGAGGAACCTGCTATTAAAATAAGATAATTAAACTTCAAGCAATGTTTTTTGGTCCTGATAATTCAACTTCTTCATTAAGTTATTTCTGCATTAAAGGCTAGTGAGGAACAGAACAAGGCCACGCAGTATAATTCACATAAAAAACCTCCAAAAATCCCAAACTCGCATATTTTGATTGATCATACTGCTTAAATCTTCTACTCCCTTCCTGCCTTTTTGAAAAATTGCTGCTACTCTTTGTAGCAATAAAAATTCTTTTAAGTGTAAGACACCTAAGATTCAAACAATCTATGAATGTTAGCTAAACTCTGTACCTCAGCACAAGGTGACCGGTAGCACTGCCTGTTCCCTGCTGACTGAAGTCGGTAAGAATCACTCGGTACATATAAGCATCTATCCTTGAAACACCACACAAGGTGAAAAACACCTGAAACACTGACAGCAGGGACTTTAAAGAGAGCTCCAGTCCAACTGAACATATGGTTTTCCCATACTGCCCGAACAGAAACAGCAAATGCCCAGATTACTGACACGTGGAATTATCTTCCGTTAAAAATCCCGCTGCAGCAGCCGGGGCTAGGGCCAAGAAAAGCCTTGAAACGCGCAGTTTGTCCTCCCTCGACTGCGCCGCCAACATCCGCAAACACATCTGCTCAGCAGGAGAAGCGTACAGGTGCAGCACCCAGCAGACGGAGGGCTCTCGTGGCCTGACAACCTTCTTCCGGCTTTTGTGTATTGTTTTAGGTCAGAAAGCGGCACACAGCAACAGGGGTGGAAAACAACAGAGCCTTATACATGCTCTTTGCTCAGTCCCTAATTCTTAACATACTTTCTGTGCAGTTTTTGATGGGTTGCTCGGGTTTTCTTGCTTGGTAATGAGCTCATGTTTTCTTACATCTGTCTGTTGAGTTGTATCTAGTAATAAAGCTAACTCTAAGAGAACTAGCTGGAAATACTTGAAAAGTTTCTCAGAAAATTTGAGTGAGTGGTAAAGAATTGCCAGGAAAGACAACGGAACTTGGACAAGGACATCAACGATCAACTTGTGAAGGTAGGTAAACTGAGGGAACAGTAACTCAGTTCTGATTCAGCCATCTACCATCCAAGCAATGAGCTGAAGAGCACTGAAATTCGGGCAGCAAACCTGCCTGAACCATACCAGAATTATTTCCAGTAAAAGCAGAAAGACTATGATGTCTCTGAAGACAATTTTGCGGGAGACACACTGCAGCCAGCAAAGTCATCTAGTGCTTGGTGGACCTTTGATGGCTGCCTTTGATAAGATGTAGGAGAAATGGAAACCTGTATCAGCTTTGCAACCATCCTGTTTGCTCTGGAGCAGACAATTCTTATTGATGTCCGAGTTGAAAAGATGGTAGACGAGATACTCCAGTCCTGGAATAATATTCTGTAATATTTTCTTGAACGTCCTGTTCACGAGCTGGCAGTTTGAATGAGTTTACCTAAGGCCACAGTGGCTGCAAGAGTAGATGCAGCAGCAGTTCAGCTCCGAAGAGCAGCTGCTTGAATTGCAAGGCCAAAGGTTTTGCCCCATCCTAGTGTACATCCAAATGCACAACACTGCTCGGAAGTGTCTAAGCAAAATCACCTGAAATGAGCAGGACGACAGCACCAGCAGCACAACAATACTTAACACCTCTGAGAAGTTCAACTGTTCTGACATGTAACCGCTCCACAGCCCACAGACTCTGCACTGTGGGGACTTCCAAGTTCTCCAGACACAAAAGATACCAGCGCAGGTGAAAGAAAATCTACAAAGGTAACTATACACGATTGTCTGGATTTCTCCACCAAGGATGCAATTTGAGGACGACCTGGGAGAGATAACCAAATAAGCATCAGGTGAACATGTGGATGACAGAGGGACAGAAGTCAAGCCAGCAGTCACCTCACCTGCAGTTAGGTTTAAGAGGTTATCACAGCAGATGTTGCCCTAAGTCCTGCAGACAAGGAAGGTGTTTACTAACACCTGGTACCGAATGGCTACGTGCTGTGTTTTTAAAAGCTCTACGTATGGCTCGGGAGCGATGCGCTGAACGTGTGGAGTCCGACAGCCTCCTGCATCAACACACACAGGGTGACTGCACAGATAAGTAGCAACCAAAGGGGAACTTTAAGTTTTCTTCTCTAAGAGGTGACAGCTAATTCAGAGTAAAAAGTTAAAAGGCAGTATAATTACAGGAAGTATGATGAGACTGAATGCTGTCTGTACATAATGACTTTGTTCGGTCCCCATGTGCTGTCTGGTCTAGTTTAGAGGCGTCGTCCCTGCCCATGACAGGGAGGTTGGATTAAATGATCTCTAAGGTCCCTTCCAGCCTAGGCCAGTCTAGGATTCTCCTCAGTGCAATTTAAGTACAGTTTTTAAAAAGGTAAAGTTCATTCATACCTGGAATGAAAAGCACTGAAACTGTTTCAGAGTTTGATGTCAGGGACTATAGACCGCGTATCCTTCTTTTGAACAGAGCCAACTTCTACTCTTTAAACTTAATTTCAATTATGATTTTAAAGAGCAATATAATACTGCTTCATGTTACAAGCCTGTGAAGAGTGAATTGACTGATGCATCTGCGTAGGATATTAATTCAAATGACCTACCATGACCATTTGACTGTTGATACAAAATCATTTATTGATACGATCAGTGATCAGGAAACGGTTTGAATTCAGCACAGAAGGTACTTAAAAATGGAACTGCTCCCCACCCCCTAGCCCCTCCACCAGCAAAACCAGAAGTGGAGCAGAGTCTCAAGAAACACATCAGGGAAAAAAACCTGCAGAGTGCTGTGGAACAGCCAAAATTCATGGAAGAGAAGCCAATTCCCCTGTCCAGAATCAATCAGTCAATAGCACAGCAACACCAGATCTTCAGACATCCGTGAATCATCTGGTCTAATGGTCTGCTCGGAGCTGGTCTAACCTCCAGGGTCAGTCAATCTGTTCAGGGTCCTTTCCAATTGCATTCTGAATCTCTGAAATGATGGAGATTTCACAGACCCCCTGGCGCCTGGTTCCTGAGCTTAACTGCTCTCACCATTAATTTTATTTTTCTCTTATATCCAGTGAGAACCATCTCTGTCGCAACTTGTGACCATTGCCCTTGTCCTGTCACTGCACACTTCTGAGAGAGGCTCTCTCTGCCTTTCCCAGCACGTCTCGCAGTTTCCAGCTGCTTTCCCACCCCAACAAATCCGAGAACAAACCTGCTCCAGTCAGTACACAAGAGAGCCAACAAGAAAACATTACTCCTACATGCCAGCCACTGCAGATTGTAACCTGATGACGCCAGCTCTGCCTCTGCCTGAGGAAACAGGGCAGAAACTCTCCCATCTATTCACCTTCAGGCTTTCTCTACAGTAAAGAAGCACTCAAGAGTTATAAATGCAGCTCGGTTGTTGTTTTGGGTTTTTTTTTGGTTTTCTTTGGGTTTTTTCTTTAATTATAGAACAGGATGCCATATCCAGGAGTCAAAATAATTTTTCAAATTTTAATCTTTAAGGATTGAAGATCTCAAACTTTTCATGGTAAAAAATCCTGCCCAGCAACAGAACATTCTTTGAACTGAGTTCTTTCCTGGAGATTTCTCCGAGTATAAAACTGTGGAAAGCACCCACAGTTGATCATGTGACATGAGGTTTTCTAAACAGCTTTTCCTTGTAATCTCTTTTTAATCTCTTAGTCCAGCTCCCTGGTCTTCCTACGCAATACAAAAAGCTACCTGTGGAAATTAAAACACCTCCAGACCTCCTTTGGTCTCTCACAATCACAAGTGAGGATCTATGTCAAGGTCGTAGGCTGGATTTCAGAACTGGATAAACAATTTGGCTTTTTATGAAAAAAATACAACTAAAAAATAAAACTAAGACCACATACCATGCCAAAGATGCTGGAAAACTGACACCCTGAAAATCCAGGGTCTCCTTTTCTCTGTCAGAATTTAGATATAATTAAAAATAGGATAGAAATAACTGAGTAGGACACTGATGCTCATTTCTGGCAAAAACTGAGCATGTCCCATGTAAGCATAAGTCAATTTATCTTTTATTGTTTATCGCATTTAAAGATCACATTAACAATAAGGCAGCAAAAGAACATTACTTGGACAGCCTAACCTCTCTGGATAACATACATAATGTACAGTAAAAAAAAAAAAACCACAACAAAGAAAGAATAAGGAAAAAAAAAAGAAACCCAAAACACATCAAAAAACCCACAACCACCCAACCAGAAGAATAAGATACTGATTTTTATGTGCAAAACATACACTCACAGTTCTAGACAACTGCTGTGTAATAAATGTGCTAGGGGTCTGCTTATCCTACTTGGAATTAGTTTAAGTATCCCTGTCTTCATTAATACCAGAGGAATATAAACTGCACTGTTCTAGTACACAGAACGCATTCTCTCATGCTTAAAGCATCTTCTGTCTCCACGTGCAGAGGAACAGGGTACTTCTGCCCCAGTATCTGCCTAAAATCACCAATATGTGAAGAGATTGCAATAACATGACTGGAAAGACATCACCTACCCTTCTGCTTCCTGATGACCTCAAAAATTTTTTTACGCTCTAAATCAATCTGATCATTTGGAGGAAGGAACACAGCAGGTAAAAAAGCTTTTGCCGGTGGCAAAGATATCTCCTCTAAACTAATGAATCTACTAGAAAAACTGCGCGTCTGTTAAGGAATCCACATGGAAGCAACAAAAAGGGATAGAAAAAACCAGGCAGCACCTATCCTGAAAGAGTCCTGAGGCAACCACGTCACCCCCCGCAGCCGCAAAGGCGGCCTCTTACCGGAGCTGGTGAGCACACTCAGGGGGCTGCTGGAGGAGGTGAGCGCAGCCGTTCCGCTCGGCGTGTTCTGGGCCGCGCTGGCTGCAGCTGCTAACGCAGCCAGGTTCTGCAGCTGCATCGCGTTCAGTCCTGCAACACAGCGAAGAAAGCACAAGAGTTTCTCCTACAATAGTCGCCACCAGCCAAGCTTAACAAACGCAGCAACCTCAGCGCATCACAAGGGAGTAACGGGGAGGAGCTTAAAAACAACACGCTTAAAATACTAATTACTGATGTTTCCTACATTGTGATTCGTTGTTAACACTAAAAATAAGTTTTTCTTTGCCCAGGTAAGTTTTGCTAAAAGACCAGGTAGACATGATCCCAGGTGCAGGCTCCAGAGTACTGAAATTTTCAAGCAGTGTTCTCTCCAGTCACAAAAGCACAGCAGCTCCAACTCGGAGTTAAGCCAGGGTCTGACAGCTCATCTGCAAGTACAGAACTTGTCCAGACACCAGGCCAACAACCTCCTCTTCCCTCATGTCCCGCCGCTCCTTTTGGATGTGAACAGCAGAACTCTTTCAAGAAGGGCTACTTCAACCCACCGTCAGCTGAGTATCAGCACGTTTTGTTGGGTCCCCTTGGCAACCAAGAAACAACAGTCAGTTGTGAGACAACATCAAGCAGCAACTCAGGACCAGGACCAGCCAGTGTAGGTGCAGGCCGGCCAGCCGGTAAGACCAAGGCAGTGAGGAAGTTGGGAAACATCAGACACGTGGTGGGCAAGGAGGCAGGGCTGCTGCAGGGCTGGGAAGCCATCCCTGTGTTGACAAACCATGACTCACCTGCATTCCGAGTCATAGTTTTTGAATTAAACCATTCGGTCAATAACAACACTGGGGTCTGTCCTCTTTCCTGCCATGGGATATCAATCTTCTTTCCAATTTTGCATTTTAGCCATCTTTCGGTAGGCTAGCTCCATTTTTACAACTCTGCCTCTCTTCCCTGACGCCTTATTTCCCTTTTTTGTCTCTACCTTTGCTTATTCTAACAATTCCTCCTCTTGTCCTCTGACTTCAGACAAACGTTAGTAACTGTCATCTACAAAATTAAAACCAAAATTAAATTAATCACCATTCATATAACATCACAGGCAGATGCGACATCTCATCTTAAGGATGTTTACTAAGTACTTGGTGGCAAAGCACATGTCTCAAAAAATTCAAATCTCAGTTTTGTAATTTAAGTATATAAATGGATAGCATACGAACGTAAGCGACAATGCAGTATAAACTATGTTTATTCTCTAAAAAAAATACCTACTACCTTTACCATAGCTCGTCTGGGGAGTTTTTACTGTCTTTTTCAATTGTTTTCTCTTTGTGAACAGAGTCTGACAGAGTCTTCCCTAGTCACATTTAGTGCTTGAAACAAGAGGCCTTTATGTCTCAAAACAAGAGGCCTTTATCTGGACTCTCAAGGTTCCATTGTAATATAAAAGCATGAAGTTAAAACCTAAACCCTGTATTTTTGGGGTTAAAAGTGCAAGTGTTGGAGCTAGTGAAGAAGAGCAGCTCGCTCCCTTCTCTGAAGGAGTTTGGCATGTGCTCACTGCCCCTGACCCCTTCTCTTCCCCTTGTTTTCCCATCTGCTTTCAAAGAGGGTCACAAGATTAAATTTTGTCTACAAAATCTGATATGGTTTGGGATCTACCTACCTACCTACTTAACTTCTCTTTCTATGAATTTCAAGAAGCTGAGATATTAACAGGACCTTGAAACTAAAACTCTTTCTGTGAGGAAACACAAACTTGAAGTAATTCTTTCAAAATACCATGCAACATGCTATTTATATTTTTAAGGTCTTTTTTTAAAATGGTGAGGACAGAATTATCCTGGCACCTTCAGTCAGTCTCAGCTAATTAGCCCCTTTCCCACTCCTTACTGGAGTAACAACGTGAACAGTTAACTGCTGCACTGTTCTCCTTTATTGCCACTTGCTTTTTATCAGACACAAGAGGGGAGGCGCCTCACTATTATATACAGTTCCCCACCACACAGGCTATTAGTGAAACTGATTTTAAAACGAGTTTCTCAAGAGTGTTAGATTTAAGAGCTCTGAAGAGGTCTCACATGAAAAAAAGTAAATATAAGAAGCTAAGGTTAAAGCCGACCATCAAGTATAGATCTAAGTTCTTACAAGTGAAAACACAGCACTTTGCAAAAGCTTGTGATTGTTACGGAGGGGTGTACCAGCGCGACTCACACGTACAGACGCCTGACTTTAACGCTCTCGGATCAATCCCTGCACAGACAGGGCATGTAATGCTGTGAACTACCACAGCTTGTGAGGGGTGTACCAACGCGACTCAAACGTACAAAGACGCCTGACTTTAACGCTCTCGGATCAATCCCTGCACAGACAGGGCATGTAATGCTGTGAACTACCACGCAGCTCCAGGAGGCCGTTTAACTGTCTTAAAATGTTGAGTGTTAAAACTCAAATTATAGTTTTTCTGCCAGTAGAAGAATTTAAAGAATGTGAATGGAGTTACCAACCCCTGTTTTACTATTCTGCACCCTGTGAAGGCAGAAGGGACAAGCATCGTGCTGCGCTTGGCCATGTCTGGGCTGTCTGTGGCAAGGGCTCTGGCGCGTGCCTGTTACGCTGCTGTGTCTCCCACAGCACTGCTGTAACCAAGGGTCATGCAGAGGAAGTCAGTAAAGAACCTGAACGAAAGGCTAGCTCACATTCCTACCAACGCTGCATTTTCAGCTTCCGTGTATTTAAGACTAAAGAATTTTAAATGGAAAACCTAAGAATCCATTTTCACTGAAACACAGGTGCTCGTGCTCACTACAGAACACAAGGCTTCACACTCGCTCCACCTTGGATGAGGACAAGTGTATGGAGTCACCTTTTAGTACCTGTAAGGGGAAATGATTTTAAATGCCAAGGGCAGGGGAGATAACCAGCATACCACAACTTACCTTGGGGACAATGCTTAACTAACATTAAGAAGGAACTTAATCCACACCTGTAGCAGAGAATTCCTGTCATTCCAAAGGAGTGGGTAAATTTGGGACTACTTATTTCAGATCAGGTTTATGAGCCTACAGCCTTTTGGCTACTCTGTCTATTCTCCTCCTTGTCTCTTTGGCACTGAATTTACCTTCTGGCGGAAAAAACTCACCTCCTATTGGGTGGAGGCTGCTCAACGTGTTCAGGTTCCCAGATGACGCAGCGGCTGTCTGCTGAAGGAGCTGCAAATAAAGCTAGACATTACACCAAAAAACAAAACAAGAGTGAGAGTGAGGGCTGGCTCCGCTTCTGGGACAAAATGCATCACACCACAGCCAGAGCGCCATCACAGAGAGAATTCCCACTGCCCAGGCACCGTGTTGCAGCAAAGCAAAAAGAGAATTCCTCTTCCACGACACAGCCAGAGCATCACCACAGTGAAGTTCCACGTTGCCCATGCGTCACATTGCAGCCAAAGCAAGAGCACGCTGCTTTTCTCACTCAACATAACCAACTTTGAGGGAAATTCACAGCTAGAGACAAGAGCAGAACTGGTAGTGAGAGAGAACTACTCAAAGCTCCTCCAGCAGGACTGTCACCCCCAAGGACATACACGTCAAGCCAGAATTTACAGCTGACACAGCCAGCACAGGACAAACAGCAAATGCCACAGCAAAACCGAAGAGCCACCATGAGAGGGAATCTCCTCCACTTCCCTTAAGCACAGCAGCCACAAGAGAAATTTCAAGCCTCAGCTCAGAAGCTATTGAGAGGGATTTCCTATTTCCTTCTCCACTAAGTGTTGCTATAAAAAAAAAATTTCCAATCTACCAAACCTAAATCAGCAGTAAAAAATGCACCTGCTTCAACAGCACACTGCACCAAGAACGAGATGAAAATTTCCTTTTCTCTTGCTCAGACCTTGCATGAACACATTTATCAGAGCTGCTCTGGTGACCCACACGAGCCAGAGCACATCAAAAGTTCACTCCTTAGGGACCCAGAAAAATCAACTAAAATCACTGACAAACAGCAGGCTACCTTCTGTTCTGCCATTTCTGCTGAAGAGAGTAGTTTCTTTCTACTTTCTTTGAGGTTTTTTGTTTGGTTTTTTTACTGCGCATTGTCAGCAGCTTGGTGCTTCCAACCTGATCACCTTTTACATATGGACAGCATCAAGTGCTGTTCTAGGTTTCACCAAAGGGATGAGAAAATTAAAGGCTGAAAAAGGAAAAATGCAAGAGGAATGTAAGAACTACATCTTCAGATAGACACGAAAAGAGTGTTTCTGTGGGTAAACATCAAGGCCATAACATATGAAGAAAGTCTTCTGAGCACAAAGCCATTCTACAGAAGACAGGGGGAAAAAGGTTTCAGTACTTTGGGCTACAGTGACTGGGGTTGAAATCCTCACTTAAACGTATCCTGCCTAGTAGTTAGCACGTAACTTAATTTCAGCCTCCTTATTCACACAGTGGGGATCAAGAACCCTGCTCCTGCCTATCAGGAGCCTTCTACAAACAAACGCACCAAGCACAACAAGACAGTCAGACACTGCAATCCCTGAAGAGATGAGAAGAACCCGAATCAGAAACTCACTGCTAAGTACTGGGGTCCAAGCGTGTTGAGCCCAGCCAGGTTTCCCCACACTGAGGCAGCACTGATCTGTTGCATTTGTTGCTGGAGTTGCTGAGCAATTCGTTTCTGCTCTTTGTCCTTCTGCGTGTCTGCAAATTTTACCACAATGGGAGAAGAGCAACCCTGCAAACAGCAATTCAAACAATTACATACTTGCTATCCCCAGCAGTCACAAAAGTACTGCATTGAGATCCAGGCATTGGAAACATTCCTCTCCCTTCCTCCCATACACAGACATGCATGCATTCACACAGCACATTTCATTACAGGTCCAAAATCTTAGTTGCTTTTAATTCTGTTTTATATTTTGGTATTTTCTCTGCAGCTGAAGTTTCTAGCTTGAGCTCTAAACATAGGAGCAGAACAAACAGGAAGGTCCAGGAGCAGTATCTGTGAGGAAACACACACTGCACTTATCCTTCTGTCTGCTCTCTAGTCCTCCAAACCCCATAGTGACTGCCTGGCAAACTACATCTTCTCCTGACACCCACTAACGTGCTTTACCTCCATGGTTTGTGCTTGGTGCATTGCTTTGATTGCTGTTTGTGCCATGGCTCTTGTTGTAAAAGTCACAAACGCACAACCTGTGGAAAGAACAAAAAATAAAACAAGTAATTCACTGCATCTGCAATTGCTGGGATGAATAAAGAAATGAAAATGCCTATGGGGCAGGGTGAAATCACTGAGAGAGCTGAAATGTCACCTTGACTTGCAAAAGGCAGTAAGGCAGCAGCCAGTGCAGAACCTTGAACGGTCGGAGAAGCTTCCTGCTTACCTCGGCTCAGGCCATCTGGGCCCCGTAATATCCTGCATTCCTCAATCTGCCCAAAGGGGGAGAACATCACGCGGATATCGTTTTCATTGCACTTCTTGGATATCATCCCAATAAACAACTTCCTATCTTCTACTGCTAAGAAAACAAAAAATAAGAGTGTTACCAGCAAATACGTGCTTACTAGATCTTACTTTGTCTTCTCCATCCACTTGTCATAGGTTTGAGTCTGGCAGGGGTTTAGGAAGCAGGGGTACAGCTGTGTGGGATGATGTGTAGGAAACTTCAAGAGTCTCCCCCACCCCCAGGTAGGAGTTGGACCTGGCTCTGGCCAGGGCCAGGCCGAGCAGCGCCTCTCCCATCAAGGTATTTGAGAGGCGACCCCGTTGTTCTATCTCTTTCTTTTGGTTTGTCTTGATCCGTCGGTGTCAGTGAGATTTTTCCTGCTGGAGGAGGGGGAGGCGAGAGGAGAACAAAGGAACTTTGTCCTGAGAAGAGCCCCAGAGGAGAAGGGAGAGGGAGAAGGCTGCCAGAGTTAGGACCTCTCCGTGGAGCCCACGGTGGCTGAGATGGCAGGAAGGCAAGTGCCTGCCAGCTGATGGCGGCGAGAACATCCAGGATGCATCGATCCGTGCAGAGCCCCACGCGAGGGGGGAGAGAGAGGGAGTACCAGCAGAGGACGTGCCTACAGCCCCCATGGACTCCCCAGGAGGAAGAGGACTGTCCCCTGGGAGGTGGGCACCGTGAGGCAGGAAAGAGAGACTGCGAGGAGCCTCTTTCTCAGGGAAGAGCTGCCCTGGACACTGAGCAATGGCCACGCAGCCTGCACCCTCCACCTCCTGCCCCCCTGGCACTGATGAGGGAGACACGAAGTCACCAGGAACATGAGAGGAGTGGGGAAGTGGGGGGGTGTATTTAAGACTTAATTGTATTTATTTGTGTAATCCTCTCACTATCTTGCTTCCATAAATGGTGGTGGTAAATTAAATCTATGTTTTCTCTCCAAGTCTCTCTCTGTTTTTTTTTTAACTCGTCATTTTAGATAGCAGATTATTACCCTCCCTGTCGTTAAGCTCAATCCTTGGGCCTTTTTGGTTGAGTTTTCTCCCTCCACACGTGGACATGGGGACGGGTGGGAGGAGTGAACGAGTGATCTCATGTTTTGCTCTGAACCATGACACAACTGCAGTTATTTTCCTTGTTTTCAGGGTAAGGGCTTGTCAAAACCAGATCCCCAATAATGGAATCTCTTCCATTTAAGCAGACGAATATGAGATACCTCAATGAATCTGAAGGATGCCTGCTTTATGATGTTTTATTTTTATATTTTGCTGTTTCTCCCTTGCAAGCCTGTGAGCTGCAAGAATGTAAGAAAAGGAAAACACGTATCAGCTGCAGAAAGCTTCTTTCTAGCCTCTTTATCATGCCAATCACTTAAATTTAGACCTGCCTGTTTCCTCATGCTCCTGTCTCAACACTGGAAGCAACTGCAGTTGCTAAAATAAAACAGTTCTAGTCCTGTTTCAAATTTATTCATTTTGATCTGTACCAAAAGCATGAAACTAACATCTCAAATCAGAACGACGGACTGTGTGCTACTGTGTCCTGCCTCTAAACTCTGATGCTACCAGATGCAGCAGAGCTGAAGAACACCTTTCAGTGGGCCAACTATTTTAAAATATATGGTCCAGAAAGATATTTCTCTTAACTTTCCAGTTAGTGCTTACTAATATCAGTTTAAGGTCACTTAAGGGGGTGGGATAAATCTGAATCCAGAACAGTACTTTATACCTACACCTTGTTTTACTAAATAAGGATACTAATCACCTCTGAAACACTTGCTTTTAAAGGATGATGCAAATTGTGCAGAATACCCTTTGCAAATATAGAACAGTTTGCAAAACCAACATTCAGCACAGTATAAAATATTATATGATCAAGGCTGCAGGACAATTTGAAGGTACAAAGGCGTCTTCTTCTATTTAGTGCCATGGTGAGAGGAAATCAACTTATTTGCTGAGACTTCTATGGTGCTGACAAAGAAAATTCCCAGCTACTCCAGCTGACATGACTTCAACTGGTTATTTAATCTTAATGGTGTACCCAGTTAATTTTCAAGCTCTTAGAGCTGTTGCAGTCCATTTTAGCTCGAGATCCAAAACTTCTTTTATTAATGCCAAGTTAAAATACTTTCACTGATTTTTTTCACCTACACCTTTTACTAAAGCTTGATTTTATAATACCCTCAGAATTGTCACTCTAAAATTTCATTAAATACATTTTTCCTCTTTCCATTATGTTCCCCGGATATTCACACATGTGCGTAAGGTGAGCTCAATTTGAGTTTAGAGAACCTAACAATACTTCAGAAGGACTCCTTTCTAGATACATTTACATAAGAACCTACTCCATACACACATAGAGACACTTGAAGATGGAATTACTCCTACTTTACGTTAGCCATATATCCCATCTTCTTACACGTATCTTAAACTGTAAGCTGTCTGAACCAGGATTATCTTCTCTATCATTCAACACTAATCTTGCAGTAACTATGGCAAATGAAGAAAGTAAAATTCAACCAAGTCTAGAATGGCTAAAAACACAAGATGCTAAACACTTTCTTTGCTTATCCTGCACCAACATATATCCTCACACGTATTTTAGCATGTATGTATGTACTGACACAAGCTCATCATGGAAATACATGGGTAAATGATCATTTACCCAACAGTAGATGTTAAGTGTCTTAATCCATCTGAAATGAACAATGTGCAGAAATATTTGCAGTTTTTCCTCTGCTGAATTATTGCAAACTCTTAATCTCCCTTGCATACCACGAGAAGTTTTGACTCCCACTCTAACTGAAACAGGCCTTGCTTTGAAGCACCTGAAAAAGTATTTCTAGATTTCATAAAATCACAGAACGGGTTGGGTTGGAAGAGACCTCAAAGATACGACCCAGTTCCAATCCCCTTGCGACGAGCAGGGACACCTCTCACCAGACCAGGATGCTCGAAGTCCTGTCCCGTCCGGCCTTGAACGCTTCCAGAGAAGGGGTTGCCACAACTTCTCTGGGCAACCTGGCCCAGTGCCTCACATTAAAAATTATTTTCCTAATCTAAATCTGTCCTCTTTAAGTTTTCAACAGTCACCCCTCATCCTATCACTACACTTCTGGATCAAGAGGCCCTCCTCAGCTTCCCTGCAGCCCCCTTTAAACACTGGGAGGCTGCTCCAAGGTCTCCTCTTTAGGAGCCTTCTCTTCTCCGGGCTGACCAGCCCCGACTCTCTCAGCCTGTCCCCACAGGGCAGGTGCTCCGGCCCCCTGAGCATCTTTGTGGTCTCCACTGGACTCTCTCCAACAGGTCCATGTCTTTGGGATGCTGGGGCCCCAGAGCTGGACAAAGAACCTGCAGATGCAGTCACACCAGAGCACAGGAGAAGAATCATGTCCCTCAGCCTATCAGCCCTTTTTTTTTCTCGATGCAGCCCAGGATGTGATTTGCTTTCTGGGCTTTGAGTGCACATTGCTGGCCAACATCCCATTTTTCACCCAACACCCCCAAGCCCTTTCTGCAGGGCTGCCCATGACCTACCCCATGTTTGTGCTCGGGATTTCCCCAACCCAGGCGCTGAACCTTGCACCTGCCCTCACTGAACGTGGCAGAGGCTCACCTCTCCAGCCTGTCCAGGTCCCTCTGGACGGCTTCCCTTCCCTCTAGGCTATCAACCCCAGCACTGAGCTTGGTGTCATCCATAAACTTGCTGAGGGTGCACTCAATCCCACTGTCCATGTCCCCAGCAGAGATTTAAACCACCTTAGTACAAAGAAGAATTCGCTGGATGTTTCCCTAACTGACAACGTGGTTCTACCACAAGCTGCAGCAGTGGGGGATACTGAGTCATGGAATTTTAGAGAGATCACTTACGCTACCCACTACACTGAAAACATCTTTTATTTTTTTCTTTCCCCCTCACCTTCAATAAAAAAAATAAGGTCTCCAATTCAAGATGATTTCATCAGAAGCTGTTCAACAAAAGGAAAATCCTCAAGCTTCCCTATTAGCACAAATAACGCCACCGAACTCAGACTTTAGTACAGCTTACCATTACTCTTTTCACTGTCAGCTGGTTTCATCTGGATAGGATGGTGCATCTGAAATGGGAAAAGGTCATTTAATCCTAAATGCATTCACTTGATACTATACAAAATACATCCCATAGTAATTGTGGAAGAATGAAACGGTGGCCTAAATTGCCTCTACAGAAGTGCATATGTTACAATAGAGATTCTGTAAGAAAGAAAAGCTTTCGTAGTGATATGCCATCATTCCTCCTCAGTGAGGAGCTGTGCCCACCCACTTGCCTACCATAAATCCTCCCAAATGTCCCCAAATTCCCTTAAGATATGTTATCACACTAATCTTGTGACACCGCTCTTTCGAACGGTTATTTTAAAAGATTATTTGAGGGTAAGATAAACGTATGTTTGTACAACAGTGGTGTCAGAGCTCAGAAAAACAAGATGTGAGGAAAACATGGCTCTTCTCTTACCCCTGGGAGGATCTTCATGTTGTGAAGAGCATTCTGTGCTTCTAGTGCAGCTTTACGGGTATAAAATGTAACAAAACAGCACCCTGCGAGTGAAACAAAAGGTTTGCCAAGAAAGAATATCACCAATCTTGATGCACTGTACAGAAATTCAAGTCCCACCGCTAGCCTTCCAGTGCAAAAGGTACGACAAGTGGCAGAGGGCAGGCATTAGAATAGGTCGGTGCTACTGCCTGCGACTGTTTTAAAAGTATTTCCAAGTGTACTACATTCAGACCCGACCCAGCACCACCAGCACTCCATTACACCATTCAAATGGCTACTTCCATTATCAAACTTGACAATTATTTGCTAGTTCCAAAAACTTCCTTATATTCATGAGAAATAAGACATTGCATATAACTGATCTGCAAATCCAGGTACAGCAACCAGTTAGGATCTGAGGTACACAAATGACGAAGACCTCAATTTTATATTTTATCTGAAACTGTGACGCTTCCAGCAACATTCTGATCACATCACGGCATCACAAGGGTGCTCTGGAGCAACACACTACTTGAATCCATGCTCTTCAGTATCCCCATCACTGCTGAGCTCTAAAAAAGCCATAAATTCTGATTTTTCCTCAGCTCAGCTAATAACTGGATCACAGTCCAAGCACAATTAGGCATATACATTTAAGACTATAAAGCGTGGGCCTGCACGCACACAGCTCCGACACACAGGGACGTGTGACACAGCTCGGACTGTAACTACGTGAAGGCAGCTGAGACCCCAAGTCTCGCCTGAGAAGTGCAGCAGTTCTCACCTTTGCTTTGAGGAGGGTTTTGGCTCCTGTCTCTCAAGACATTGATTTCATAGACAGCACCATACTGTTCAAAAAGTTCTCTTAGATCCTTCTCACACCAGCTCCGTGGGACCTGACCCACAAACATCTTGATGGCATCTAGATCAGGTTGGTCGGGGTGATCCAGTGTGCCATTCATTTTCTTCGAGCTGTGAAAAACAAGAAGGAATTTCTGGTGTATATCTTTCCACAGATTCTGGATGCCACTGCAGCTAGAAGCAGCGTGCTTACAGTGAGCTAAGAAAGAAAATATGTATTTCTACACATATATAAAGGTTTATGACTGAGTATAAAGAGATCACCGTTCAGTCCCCATGCGTTGCTTGATCTAGCTGAGAGGCGTCCCTGCCCATGACAGGGAGATTGGATTAAATGATCTCTGAGGTCCCTTCCAGCCTAGGCCAGTCTGTGATTCTGTGATCCTTGCATATTCCCAGCCCTGCACACTAGAGAATATTCAGAAACATCATCCACATTCGTTGGCAAGCTACGCACGCGAAGACCAAACACTCTCTCCACAGTTGTTTAAAACTTCTCCTTACATTTGTTCCTATAATGTAGTCAACATCTGGGATTCAGGACAGAAATCTCTTGAGATGACTGAAAAACATCACTAGTTCAGCCACGTAAAATGTTACAGAAAAAGAAACCAGAACAGGAAGGAATCTAAACTCAGTCTACCCACAGACTACTGAAGTTACCGGTAACCACCGAAAATTAGAGGATAACATTTTTTTTCACTGTTTTTTAAATGTGACTATCTGGAACTGTTTCCTAAGTGAAGAGTCATCTTAAAACAGAGAAATAGGTCCAGCTGAACAGATGAGAAATTTCATTAAAGGTTTACAAGGCAATAGCTCTTTATGAAACTAGGGAGCTTTCAACAACTGGCAAAACCACAGGCTTTGGCTGTAGGTGGGATTTGACAATCCAGTCAGTCTCAGACTGAATCAAGTTGAGTAATTCCGGGTCAAGTGTTAACACAGAAAAAAAAAAAAAGTCACTTCTTGGACTACAACCCAAAAGTTCTTAGTATGGAGATGTGCCATTCAAACAGCTCCCAGCCCAGGAACAAAGCCGTGCTGTACCCAGCCATTCTCCGCTTTCTGCATCGATTCCTCGTCGCTGTTTGCCAAGCGCAGTGCCAGGTCCTGTTATCAGCAGTCCCAGCGCGGTGTAGCACAAGACCCATCTCTACTGGAGACTGACTGTAACGACACCCTATTGCAGCTACGGTGATTCACAGGTTAAAATTGCTAGAAAGGACCTGGGGAGTGGAACAGTAACTACACAATGATTCCCCGCACCCCGAAACTCTGCTGAAGAATACAGGTGGCCTTCTTCCAGGTCATCAGCTCCCTTCACCTCTGCTTTTTTCTTTAGTTTTTTAATGGCTTCTTAACTTCACATTACAGTAAACAGTGTTGCTCTCACTGTCCTTCTGTAATCGTATTCACTCCAAAAAGAATTTTAAAAAATTCAGAAAAATAACATCCAAATCAGGTATTGTTTAGTTACTTTTTTCCCTTCAACGCTGCTGTTTGGAACCTAAGGAAAAAGCGATGCCAGGGAAAGCTCAGAACTCTACAGCTGTACGAACAGACCTCAAAACCAATAAAGGTTCTAACTAGAACGGGAAGGAGCCATCATAAATTCTTTCACCGCTCCACCTTCCCACTCAGAAAGGGTCGGCACCTCCTCAAACAGCCGGGCAAACAATAGCTTTTACAAAGGGGTAAACTACCTCTTCTCACTCCAGCTGAAAAGTACTGGAAATCATTCACTCTCTTCCAACTATAATTTTCAGCGCTGCCTTCTAAGCCCTGGGTCTTCAAGAGCATAGCACAGCTTCAGTTAACTGGGCAACACGTAATGTGACCTCAACAGCATTCAAAGAATCTTTCATTCCTAATTAAAAGTTCTAGCCTGAAGTTGCTAATAGGGAAGAATAGAAAATGTTCTCCCAACAACTGATGTAAGTAACTGATTTTATACTACCAGCACCTGTAACATATTACAGACAGTACTGCCAAACAGCTTTATTCCTCCTTAGTCCTCATCCCCGAAATTACCAGATCATTTTTTCCCCCCCTATCCAGAAAACAGCATCAATTGTCAATGCCCACCAGGATTTCTTCAGGAAAACAAATCCTAGGCTCTCCTGCCTCCTTCACACACAACATCCCCCCTCTCCCCCTCCAGAGGAGTTCATCAGACAGCAGAGGCTTCACAGACCGCAATTCAACTGTCACTTTAGTTATAAACTTGGCCATGAAGACAAAATACTTACACAGGGCTAGCATTCAAGGAGCAGTGGTCCACCATCATCTCTGGGAGAAAATCCAACTTGAACGCAGCCATCACCTCAGTTTGGGACAAACTACTAACACTCAATCAGTGTATTGCCTAACCCCCAAACAACGCCACTTCCAAAAGTCCTGCAGGTCTTAACACTTCAGCCACACAAAAAGCACTCACACCACAGGAACAGAAGCTCAGGGAGACGAGCAATAGACGCCACAGAAACAGGCTGGACTGGGAAAGGGACATGGAATCCCAGATTAAAAAGGGGATGTGACCATGTGAAGGGAGGCTCAGCTTAATACACAATGAAAACGCTGATGCACTGGGCTTGTTTTGTGCGATTTTCCCTGGCGAAGCAGTACCGAGTGCACTGTCAGATAAACAGAGTGTCAGATCCATGAAGATAGCAATGGGTAACAGAGCAGAAAGAATACAAACTCCAGTCTTTCCAGCCCCAGCTAACTCCTTGCCTCCCAAAATGGGAGTCTGAGGCCTTGAGTTTCGGGCACTTCCCATTCCACCCATACTGGGGTGTGAAGCCAAGAGGTTCCTTCACCACAGGCGTTTTCAACGGCTCTCGCTCTTTTCACCTCGTGCTAGTTTTGACACTTCACTAATTTCTAGGGAGAAAAATGCCAACTAAAATGCTTCTCTGATCCTGCCAAAAGAAAATAAAAATCAAAGCTAAAATGATTTCATTACTCAAAAATTCCTCTGCTACCACAGCACACCCAAATCTACTTCTTTTATAGGAACAAAACACGCGTTGTTCTGCAAACAGTATTTTGCCCATCATGCATCTATAAATCCTTCTTTCTGCTGTGCCGACGACTGCAAGATGCACCTGCAGTTATTTAGGCTGGCCAGGACATACAGTTTCCTCTAGGTTTGCACACTTAGAGCATGTCAGTTAAGTTTTTCATAAAAATCCCCAAACATTTCCAACCTCTGGAACAAACAAACAAACCAAAAGGAACATTTCCAATGATCTGCCTACAGTGAGGTTAGTTAAAAGGTTACTAAAAGGAGTTAGGCCTCATAATACAAGGAGATGTGCACGTTACTGCAAAGAGAGGACATGAATTTAACACACATCAGATATTCAAGAGTAACTACTTCACACTTACTACGTGGTAAATGTAAGGAAGTCTACTCTCTAGTGGAAAAGGTGTAAGCTGCCTGTTAAGAGCATGCAAAGAGGCACCAGAGAGTAGGTCACTCTAATAGCTTTCAGTAAATTGTTCATATCTACCTTCAGACACAGCTTACACGCTTCCCACCTGAAAAATCTTATGTTGTGTAAAATACACCATATTCAAATGTTAAATTGAGCCAGGAGCCTACTTTACGGATTTCTCTAAAATGAACCCACAGAGCAAAATGCTGCAGATTTCTATGATTAGAACCGCAGAAGATAAACTGAGGTTCTCGCCGCTGTTCACGTAAATCTACAGAACTCTGTAAATTCTGGTCCTACCTATGAAGATCAAAATTCACTCCTTCTGGTCTCCCAGCCATCTTCAGCTTTTGAAGCAGCCAGTAAAATATCCCAGCAGCCATGCTCACTGTGGGTTTGAGGAAAGATTATGTTGGCAACACTCTAGAAAACTGGGTTTAAAAAGGTTACTGAGACTGATTAGTTTCCTCAAGAAAATCACTATGTCATCATAATTCAATCCTACACCAACTCTTTACATCTCTAGAAAACACACATCAGATATTCACAGCTCTCTAGATGAGGGGAAGAGTGGATTGCAGGCTCCTCAAAACCTAAGTCACATCTGTTTGTTGCATTAAACCCGAACTGCAACAAGTCGCACGGTTCTACTTCACATCAAATTCAGTCTGCTGGCTTCGACAATTAAAACATCAGCTTTGGGCAACCATCCTGCTACTTATTCATTCCTAAATCTTGTTATACTTACTCCAGTTTCCCCTGTGATGTGCTCGTTTAATGAACAGCGCCAAAAGTATTTCACGTGCTGTTTCGTACGGTTTGGGGACCGGCAGAATCAATACTAGAACATCTGAAGGGACGCTGGCCAAGCCTCAGGGTACCCTACTTCTGTAGTAACAGTGGCAGCTCCAGTGACAAAACATTAGTGCACAAACAGGTCTGTTTTAATGTTATTTACTTGAAGGCATCAAGCTAGTGAAATTAGAAGAATTACGGACTTCATTTGTGAAAATATCTGAAAGAGTGGAAAAAGACAGTATTCTCCTACTGCACAGAAGTAAGAATTAAATGAAGAAACAGTGTTTCTTTGGAATTATAAAAACCACAAAAGTCATCCTAGTCATTGCTCACAAAGAAAGAAAAAATAAGAGAGCTAAACACACTTATTTTTTGCTCAGATGTCAAAT